CAAAATTTCAAAAACAAACAAAATTTCTGGCTTACCTGCAACATACCCCGGCTCATGAACGATCCACGAGTTCGTGATTCAGCCAGCCAGACGCCACGGGAGGTCACAAGAGAGCTCGCTGGGTGCGGGTCTATATGATGGAGGGTGATTTGAACAACTAAATGTAAGATGTGCTTTCATTTTAAATGCAATGGAACAGGGGAGAGAACCTTGTTCTTCAAAGAAGAATAGAATATCGACTGAACAGTGTATGAATTGTGCTAAATAATTAACATGGAGCACAATAATGAAAATATATATAAAGATTTAACACCAGCATCAAAGTTTTATTATTTAATCAAGAACAAAGAGTAAGGCAGGATATTTCACAAAGTGAAATAAATAATTGACGCAACTACGCACCAGGATATCAAAAGAACAGTGTGAAGGTTCCTAGAATATTACCACTAACACGCAGGTAAACCATTTACAAGATTCAACACCGTCACCAAAGTTTCTCTGTTTTTCTCTATGGAGCAGTGCCACGACTAAACGAAAGGCGAGTAGATAATGATGCTCACAAAAAAAGGTTCGCAATTCATGAAGCTTTTGGAGCTACAGCCCATTTATATTCATTTAGTAGAAGCACGTTTCACCCACCCCGATCATCAAACATGCGCCATTCACTTTGCCTTGGCGCTCTCCTTGGTAGCTTGCTGGTCCTTCGCATTCTCCTGTGCAGCCTGCTGGGGGACGGGCTGGATACGTTCATAGCGCTTCCTTGTCAGCGTCTCGCCTTTAAGAGCAGCAACGTATCTGTCATTTGTGTTCTCCTTCCTTTGTATCTCTCCGAGAAACTCTGCCAGTCTCTCCCTGTTGACTTGCCCCATCATCTGTTTCATTGAGTGTTCAAAGTTAGTGGAAACGAAATCATAAATGCAATAGCTGTAAGGCTCTATAAAATGTTTAGGAGAAACACCAGCAAACCACAACAAATGTGCATAATAAGTCTGCTAGGAAGTAAGCATAAATTTAAAACATCTCCCGGGCAAATAGATGTTCTAAATTCTCCTTGGTATGCTGGCAAAGAGAGTTACTATATGCTGAGCTGCTAACCAGAAAATGTTTGGCAACATACAGTAAAATGCTTGGGACAATGCAGCAAATATTCAACCATGGTATAACCATGGAGTAGACAAAGAAAATATTAACCTAGGGTGTTTAACTTCCTCAGAATTTATCAACCTAGATATTAGATATTCTAGCAAAATATTTACTTATTTAAGCTACACAACTTTTTCCCACGAAGATTCTGCTAGAAGCATATTTTCGCAGTGTCTTCATGCACAACCATCCCTTCCGGATAGTTTGCCACAGCAGAATAAACAGTGCGGACAGAGTAGACCAAGAAGTTATCTTATCATAATAAAACTGGACAGATGAGATATACAAACAAGAGGCACTTATATGATATCTCCCAGCACAAACGAAGTGTCAAAATGACAGTTGCATATTTTAGTACACACAGCAAACAATAATCTACTGATGTGATTCAGGAGCGATTATGGTACATGTCTACATACTTAATGTAACTAGCATACCTTTTTTTGTAAATGTTGTGATTAAATTATTATTTTTGTAAATGTTGTGATTAAAAAGGGCTAAGGGCTGTTTGGTTGGTGCCCAAATTAGGCATGCTAAAAAATTGGCAGCCAATGATATTTTGGTTCTTGCTTGGTTTGTTGTCAAAATTTTGGCTGCCTATGCCATGAGAACTCACCCATGGGCCAACAATCCGTGGTCAAATGCTGGCAAGTCAATTCTTGGTCTGGCTATTATGATTTTGAGATGAACTTTTAAAGGTTTGTTGCTCAAGCATGGCCATTGCCCTTCTGTATTTCTAAAATAGTCTTCTCGTTTTCCCTCTTCAATATTAGACAGTGTATCTCCGTTTCAAATGGGATGACCCTGTCCGAATAGCCATTACCATATTTTTCAATAATAAAGATGCCCCCGTCCAAATAGTCATCACCATGTTAGCCATCACCAGATAAGCACATATAATGTAAATTGCGAAGAGTAATGAAGGAGAAAATAACAATCACATATGTGCATTTCAACTAATAAAAGCGAAGACATATTAGGAACCAGCATTGGCCTATACACTGTCGCACGTTCACATGGCAAGGCAGCACATAAGAAAAGCAACTCACTGTGCTCCAGCATTGACACTGGCAACCACTAAATGGGCAAGAGGTGTAGGCACGCGACCCAGGATGAAGAGGAGGAAAGGGGGTGGAGGGGCACACAAATAGAGAGAAAGAGGAAAAAACCATCATGTGTTCAGTTCCCTATTAGACAGCCCAAAATGAACAGATGAGATCGCAAGTCTCCTGGATCAAAGGCATCAACTGCATGAGAATCCAGCTGTATGTCCGCTAATCAACAAGTTATTTGACCAATTTGAATGAATCAATGTGTATATGCATGTAACTCTCTTCATAAACACACTGTTTTACCATTTAGCTCAATATGCAAGTGCTGTGGAGATGTATTGGTTGGCAATATCAGAGAAGGCAGCTGCAACGTTCTGTTGGCAGAAATGGCGCGTGAGTCCAGGCAGAGGATGACCGGGACGACAAAGACAAAGAGGGTTAGGAATCGGGTTGAGCCTGTTGGTTAGAGTCAGATAATTATAGGAGGTTCAGTCAACCACACATTGTATTTGGCTATGAGTGATAGGTCGTTTCATTCCTAATAAGAGTATTAAATGAAGCTGTACAATCCTTGTATTTTAATTTATTTAGGAAAGCAATAACAATTAGGCATTCCCCCATTCTTCACCTATTCTTCTGTATTTCTGAAATGGTCTTCTAGTTTTCCCTCTTCAATATAAGAAAGTGTATCTCTGTTTCAAGTAGGATTACCCGGTGCGGATAACCATATTTTTCAATAAATGGGAAATAAGATTGTAGCTAAGCAATCGGAATGAGGATGCCCCTGTCTGAATATTTATCACCATGTTTTCAATAATTGGGGCATACAGTCATTGCTATCACCAGATTAGCATACATAATGCAAATTGTAAAGAGTAATGAAGGCAATTTTTTCAATCACATTCAGCATTCTATCGGTCTGTAGTGTTCAAGGAAACATTCATGAGTAATGTATTTCCATAAACCAACAGCACACAAAGGTGACATGATGTATATTATGCATGGCATTATGCTCATTTTTCAATTAATAAAAAGCGAAGACATATTAGGAACCATCGTTGGCCTATACAAGATTTACCGTGTGATGATCCAGTTAGCTACAGTTAGACTGCAAGATTATGCTGCTACTTTGCAAGACATACAAATAATTTCTTAAGGGAATCTTGCCACTGTTAATAAGTTGAACTAGGGAACTGCTATTGCGCGGCTAACCAGTTGGATGAAGGCTCCCTTCTTGGGAAACTTTCACATCAAATCTAAACTTTCAACTCAACATCAGAGCACATTCAACTTGAATCCCCTACTTCAAACATAATTTTAAGTCTCCCAAGTCATGTTATTCAAATAGCAAAGTAACAAACAAAAACTTAAACTCACCCTAACACATGCACCCACTATAACTTGATTTATGGGCGTTCACTTGTGGCAGCATAGTGCGCACAGGTATATCTCCCAAACGCACAGCAAGGCAGTACATAAGAAAAGCAACTCACTGTGCTCCAGTATTGACACTGGCAGCCACTACATGGGTGGAAGGTGTAAGCAAGCAACCTAGGATGAAGAGGAGGACATGGGGTGGAGGGGCACACAAATAGATAGAAAGAGGAAAAAGAATCATGTGTTCAGTTCGCTGTTAGAAAGCCCAAAACGAGCAGATGAGATCACAAGGCTCCAGAGACCAAAGGCATCAACTGCACACAGCACATTCGGCATTCTCTGTCTGTAGTGTCCAAGATAACATTCGTGAGTGATACATTTCTATAAGACAACAGCACACAAAGGTGAAATGATGCATACTATGATGACATTATGCACATTTCAACTGATAAAAAGCAAAGATATATTAGGAACCATCATTGGCCTATCCAAGATTGATCGTGTAATGGCTCATAGGTGGAAGACATCAGGAAGTCTTAGCTGCAGTTTCACTACAAGATTATGCTGCTACTTGCACAAGAGACAGATAATTTCTCAAGGGAAATCTTTTCACTCTTAATAAGTTGAACTAGGGAACTCCTATTGCACGGCTAACCAGTTGGATTTAAAGGGCCCCTTCCCTTTCTTCAGCTCATCAACTTGGGAAACTTTCACATCGAATCTAAACTCTGAACACATCAACATCAGAAAACACTTTCAACTTGTATTCCCTACTTCAAACTTAATTTTTAAGTCATCCAAGTCATGTTATTCAAATAGCAAATTAACCAAAAAAGAAACTTTACTCAGCCTAACGCATGGACACCCACTATAACTTGATCTATGGACGTTCACTTGTGACAGCATAGTGCACACAGGTATATCCCACGAACACAGGGCAAGGCAGCAGCAGCAGCAGCACATAAGAAAAGGCAACTCATTGTGCTCCAGCATTGACAATCGCAACCACTAAATGGGCGGATGGTGTAAGCACGCAACCTAGGATGAAAGAGGAGGAAAGGGGGCGGGGGCACACAAATAGAGAGAAAGGGCGAAAAAGAACCATGTGTTCAGCCCAAAACGAGCAGATGAGATCGGAAGGCTCCTGAATCAAAGGCATCAACTGCATGAGAATCCAGCTGGATATCCGCTAATCAGCAAATTATTTAACCAAAATCTGAATGGATCAACACGAATACGCATGGAATTATCTTCACACACAGAGTTTTACCATTTAGCTCAATACGCAGGTGCTACGGACATGTATTGGCTGGCAATATCAGAGAAGGCAGCTGCAATGTTCTGCTGGCAGAAATGGCGCATGAGTGCAGGCAGAAGAGGACTGGGATGACAGAGAGGGTTAGGAATCGGGTCGAGCCTGTTGGTTAGAGTCAGATAACTATAGAAAGTTCAGTCAAGCCCACATAGTTTTAGGCTAGGAGTGATAGGTTGATTTCCTATCTAAGAATATTAAATGGAGCTGTACAATCCTTGCAATTGTAGTTTATTTAGAAAAGCAACAACAATTACATCTTCCCCCATTCTTCCTATTTATATTTTTCTCCTCGCTGCACATGTCGTGCCCACTATAGCACGGTTCAACGATTGACGCAGAAGGCAAGACACTAAAAGTAACTGATTCATGCTGCAAATGACAAGCCACTGTGACGACAGGTTACTGCAATCCATAGCAAGGACTATCAGATTATGGTATTGTCATCACTAAAGAAAAATCTGCAAGGCAATTGGTACCTACACTACACATGGCCCAGAGTCTCTTCTTGTTCACGCCTCAAGTTCCCAAACGAAAAGTGAAGGAAACCTTCAGGAATCCAACACAAAACTATATCCCCTTTCTAGTCCCATTCTGCTCGTCAAGAAAAATCAAGCACGGCACAAAATCATATTTATCCCCTTTCTGGTCACACTCTTCTACTCGTCTGGACAAATCAGGCACGGCGCACGATCTGCTAAACGATTGAGAGGGGGAGGGGGGACGCACCGTGGTCTCCGGTCGGGCGTTGGAGCGGAGGTGGGCCTCGAGTTTGTCGTTGCGGGAGCTGGTGAGCTGCATGACGCCGTAGCCGACGACGCCGGGGACGACGCCGCAGAGCGCCGCGAAGGTGAAGAAGAAGGGCTTGGAGTCCCGCGTCCGCCCCACCAGCCACCGCCACGCCCGGCTCTTCTCCCACAGGATCGACATCGAACCCCGCCGCCTCTCGCCGCCTTCTCCTGCCCCGCTTCTTTCAGAGTTCTAGGTTTTCCTCTCTCTCTCTCTCTCTCTCTCTCTCTCTCTCTCTCGGGAACAGTCTTCTTTTTTTCTGAAGAAGACGACCTTGCCATTGGGTTGGTAAGCCGATAGAGGCCTTTCCGTAGCCTGAAAATGGGAATGGGCCGACAGTATCCATTGGACGTCCAGCCCAAATTATGTACAAGTTGAAACGGAGTTGCACATGTTAAATAAACTCATATAAACCCTGAAAAAAACTCATATCAAAATTTAGCTAAAATTTCATAAATAATGGCATTAAATTTAGTTAATAAATAATTCCATTTCAAATGATGTTATTGTGTACTAATTCTTGTTCTAGTACATATCTGGAATTTCATTTGTTTATTTCGAGGTAAATCTCGTATTTAAATGGCGTGGGCTATCTTGCTCAATGGAACAAGGTCAGTCGTTGACTCGTTGCTAAACCATTGCGCAAAGGCTATATCTCACTTGTAGCACGTATCCTGCGCTGACCAGGCACAATAGCAATGCTTGAAAGATTTTCTCAGTTTACACGTAGATTTTTTTTCCGGCTAATCTCTTGTTAGTTTTTTTTGCATGGGTTATTTGGAAGTTGGTTTTCATCACTTTTTTCGGTTTTATTTCTTTATTTGTCTTTGTCCTTTTTATTATTTTTTATAATTTTCGTACCTTTTCTTAATTACTATTTTTATTCTTTTATTTTTAAATTAGTTCGATTTTCTTCATTCTTCATGGTAAATACAAGTAGTCTTAAGAGCTATATGAAAATATTTTAAAATGTACATAATATTATATGAACACATTTTAAAATGTACATAATATTATTTTCAACTAAATGTTTTTTTGAATTATTTGGATTACTTACCACATGTGTCACGCGGTCAAGTACATTTTTTTGGAAGTGAACATTTCTTTAAAAAAATTGAACAGCAGAAACATTTTCATTAAAAGTATGTGACCAATTTTTGTACTATATTGACATATTTATTAAGAGTACACGAGTTTTTCTTTTTTATACTTTTCAGTTTTATTGACTTTTCTTATTAAATTATTAAAAAAATAGATGAACTTTGTGAAATACACCATGAGTATTTTTAAATACATATGAATAATTTTAAATATGCCATGAATATTTCTTAATATAGGTTGAAAATTTTAAATACACGACAAATAATTTACTCTTTACCCTATGAACTTTTTAAATACACGCTAATTTTAAAAAATACACAATAATAAAATTAATACACAGTGAACATTTTTAATACACTATGAACAGTTTTGGTAGAACTTGGTGAACTTTTTATTAATACACAATGAACATTTTTTGAAATTATTAAAATAAAATTATTTTCTAAATGTATAATTGGTGGAATATTTTGAAATATATATAAAAGGGGGAAACGAAAAAAAC